CCTCCCCGGCGGCCGCGGCGGCGGCGCGTCACTTCCGGCCACGCCCCCTGCTTTCGCCTGGGCCACACGTAGCCGAGCCGCGCATGCGCTCTGCATCGGCGCGCCGAGGCCTGCCCGCCCAGGCTGGCTTTGAACCGGGAACCCGACAGCAGCGGCGATCAGAGACCTGCCCCAGCCGCCCAGGAGGCCGAGGCCCCGCCTGGGTGGGAAATGCACGGACACTCTTGTTGTTTTTTTTTTTTAAATCTCCAGTGCACCACCCAAAAGTCAGAAGTGGCGCTGTGGCTCAAGGGGTAGAGCGCCAGCCTTGAGCTGAAGAGCTGAGGGTCGGCGCCCAGGCCCTGAGTTCAGGACCCATGACCAGACACCCCCCCCACACACACAAAAAAAAATTTGGTCTGAGACTGGGGTTTCCCAACTTGGTATTTGATACTTGTGGCTCACTGGTGCTCTACCATTTGAGTCCTACTGCCAACCCTGTAAGGGTTGGTTCTTTCATATATGTATATATAAGTATAATAAATAGCAAATCCATAATATACATAGTCTATAATACATAATAAATGTATAATAAATATGAGTGTACTTGTATAATAGACATAATTATAATTATATACTATAAACACATAACATATATTGTATTTATTATACATTATGTATAAATATATGTAAACTTATATATATATTATATTTATATGTATATTATATAACCATTAATACATATAATATGTATTATATACTATATAATATACATAATATGAATAATGTTATAATGTTTATATAAATATAACTATGTTATAATATATTTATGTTTATATGTATATGTTCATATATATACATAAAGATATATAATATACTATATATAAATGTATGCTATATAATTTTATTATTTATTTTATTTTATTTATTTATTTTTTTGGGATCTGGTCGTGGGGCCTGAACTCTGGGCCTGGGCGCTGTCTCTCAGCTCTTCAGCTCAAGGCTAGCACTCTACCACTTGAACCACAGCACCACTTCCAGCTTTTTTCTGCTTGTGGGGTGTTGAGGAATCGAACCCAGGGCCTCAGGCATGCAAGGCAAGCGCTCTACCACTGAGCCACCTTCCCAGCCCTATATATTTTTATATATTTAACTCTGTACCTGGTAATTCTTTTTTTTCCCTCCCCCCTTGGAATTCCTTTTTTGTTGTTGTGGTTTGCTTGTTTTTTGGTAGTCATGGGGCCTGGGCTCTTCTGTCCCTGAGCTCTTCTGTTCAAGGCTAGCACTCTACCACTTTGAGCCACAGCTCCACTTTTGGTTTTCTGGAGGTTCCTTGGAGATAAAGAGTCTCATGGACTTTCCTGCCCAGGCTGGTTTTGAACCCTGATCCTCTAGATCTCAGCCTTCTGAGTAGCTGGGGTGACAGCTATGGGATGAGCCATTGGTGCTGGCTTGTACCTGGTCATTCTAAACTGGTAAATGTACCCTCTTCAGTATTATGCCAAGATAGGAAAGATGACCGACCAGTCCTATACAAACGGTGGAGAGAAAGCCATGGTATTCGCGAGTGACTTTGGATAGATCGTGTTTCCCCTTTGCAGAGCAAGTTTTGTTTTTCTTCCTTGAATCCATTCCATTCAGGCTTTGGTGCCAACAATCACAAAGACAGACTTGTTTTGTAAGTCCTTCTACATTGCTGGATGGGAGAGAGGGGACGTATTGTGTCCAATCTCTTTGAACTACCAGAGAGATGAATGTCCTCCTCTTCCTCCTCTCCTCCTCCTCCTCCTCCCCCTCATCTTCCTCCTCTTCCTCCTCCTCCTCCCCAACTCCTCGTCCTCCTCTCCCTCCTCTTCCTCCTCCTCCTCCTTTACTTCCTCCTCCTCCTCCTCCATCCTTCCTCCTCTTCCTTCTCTTCCCCTCCTCCTCCTCCCCCCTTCCTCCCCTCCTCCTCTCCTCCTCCTTCCTCCTCCTTCCTCCCCCTCCTCCCTCCTCCTCCTCCTTCTGGTCTTGGCCTCACCGCACCCAAACCACATCCCAGTCATTTTGTGTTGTTCATTTTTCCAGCTAGATTCTTGGGCTTTTCCCTACCTCCTATCTCCACCTCCTGAGGAGCTGGGATTGCAAGTCTTCCCCACGACACCTTTCTTGCATTTGAGATAGGGTCTTGCTAATTAGATTTTTTTTCTTTTGCCCCTGCTGGCCTGAGATCGCCATTGATCCTCTACCTCCACCTCAGTGTTACAGAGATGCCAGAAATCCACCCCCAAATCCACCGAGCGAACTTGGCTTCGAATGGTCCAGGTCATTCGGACGTTTGGCATGGAAGATCTCTCCTGTCCTTACGCAACTGTCAGCAGCTACGCAACAGGACAGCCACAGATGATAAGGAAACGAGCCAGCCTGTCTGTGTTCCCATGTCAACCTTATTTATGGATGCTCCACGTTGAATTTTTGGTGAGGCCTTCACACCGCTTACAAATCCAGCCGTCCGTATGGCCATCCACAGAGATACACGGGAAGCTGTACGGAATACGATGCAGCCTGGATAAAGAGACCCTTCATCCAGTTCCTCCCAGTGGAAACCCCCAGAGAACCTTACCGCACACAAAATGTCACATGCAAAGTCCGAACACCCCACGGACACTCACGGGCGCCTCACCATCTCCCTTGCCACAAAGATGCTTCCACTTGCTTCCACGTCCACCTCCTCCAGGCCCGTGAGCCCAGACCTCTTCTTGTCCATTTTCCCCGCAGGCATGATCATTTGGGAAATTCATCTAGGTTCATGCCGGTCTCCATCGTTGGGGTGACTTTCTCTGACGTCACTCGGCGGGGAGAGGAGCATGAATGAGACAGTCCACCCTCTTCTAGCTGCTAAGCAGAGGGGCCAGGCTACAGCCTGCGTCTTCCATTGATAGCTCGGGTAGGAGGTGAGGGAGAGGACTAAAGTGATTTCCCCTAACAGCATTCCCTAGGGGCCAGAAGGGGCGCGTCATCATCACCATCATCATCACCATCATCATCATCATCATCACCATCATCCTCCTCCTCCTCCTCCTCCTCATCATCACCATCATCATCATCATCACCATCATCATCATCATCATCACCATCATCATCATCATCATCACCATCATCATTTGTCAGTCCTGGGGCTTGAACTCTGGGCTGGGGCATTGTCCCTGAGCTCTTCAGCTCAAGGCTAGTGCTCTACTGCTTGAGCTCTACTTCTGGTTTTCTGGGTGGTTCATTGGAGATAAGGGTCTCACAACCTTTCCTGCCTGGGGCTGGCTTTGAACTGCGATCCTCAGATCTCAGCCTCCTGAGTAGCTGGGATGACAGGCGGGAGCCACCGGCGCCTGGCTGAGCCTCATTATTGCTGCGTGGATTAGTTAATTCTCCATGACATCTCTATGGATCTTGTAATGGTGGCTGAGACCAAGAAGGGAGATTCATTCTGGCTGGAAAATGTGTGTGTGTGTGTGTGTGTGTGTGTGTGTGAACTGTGGGGCTTGAACTCAGGCCCTGGATACTGCTAGTGCTCTACCACTTTGAGCCACAGCTCCACTTCTGGTTTTCTGGTGGTTCATTGGAGATCAGAGTCTCACAGACTTTCCTGTCCAGACTGGCTTTGAACCATGATCCTCAGATCTCAGCCTCCTGAGCAGCTAGGATGACAGGCGGGAGCCATCTTGGAAGGCCGTGGTCCAGAAGGAAGGTCTAGGCCCTTCTTTCTACCTCTGTTGGCAATGGTACAACCATGGTTGTGGTTTGGCTGGGGGAAAACTTCCCTGTCTGGCTAGACTGCCCTTTCCCTGCTCCTTTGGTTAGAGAGAACAAAGGTACTTTTTGTTATTCTTTGTGCCCATTGGTGTTTCTGGTTCACTGGCTTCTCAAACGCACAGTCTCAGATGAGAAAAAATGAAGAATATCAGGAAATTAGCTACCATGCTAATGGTACTTCTAGGACCCCAGCTTGTTTGATTCCTCTATGTTTCCTCTATTTTTCAGAATCTCTATTTTTCTGCTGAGGGAATAACACCTCAGGTTGTTAGCACCTACAGAACATATACAAATGCATGCCTTCTTATCTTCCAGCCAGAACCTGTTGAGTTCTATAGAATCTCTTTGTGTTATTGAATATTATTCCTATTTTCCTCAGTCACTTAAAATATGAAGAAGACTCAGCTTACAGGCCACGGAAAAATATACAGGGAATAAATTAGGCCATACCACAAACTGGCCACTTCAGATACCAGCATTATTCTATTATCAGGGGCCAGCAAATGTTCTTTGTGAAAGAGATAGATACCTAAATACGTTAGGCCGTATAAACTAGAATGCTGCTGTTCTAACTATTCAACTCAGCATTGTATTTATAAAAGTAGCTATAGATTAAAAAAAAATCAGGCGCTTGTGGCTCACACCTGTTATCCTAGTGACACTGGAGGCTGTGATCTGAGGATCGTGATTCGAAGCCAGCCCAGGTAGAAAAGTCTGTGAGAGGGTTGGGCAGGTGGCTCAGTGGTAGAGCGCTCGCCTAGCATGCACGAAGCCCTAGGTTCGATTCCTCAGCACCACAGACATAGAAAAAGCTGGAAGTGGCGCTGTGGCTCAAGTGGTAGAGCGCCAGCCTTGAGCAAAAGAAGCTCAGGGACAGTAGCCCAGGCCCTGAGTTCAGGCCCCAGGACTGGAAAAATTAATGATAGGTTAGTTGACGCCATGTTCCAGGAACATTTAAACTACACGACCAAGTGACAGGTTAAGATTTGACTCACAAGACAATCATTGTTTACTGGCCTCTGTTTACTCTCTCCATCCAATGACTGGCCACTGTTTATGTTATCCACCCAAGGGCTAGTCCTTCCTCATCCAATGACAGGCCCTTGTTTGCTCTCCATCCAGTGACTGGTCCTTGTTAATGCCCTTCATCCAATGGTTAGCTCTTGTCTACTCTGTCCAGTGATTGTCCCTTGCTTTGCCATTCATCCAATGGTTGGCTCTTGTTTATTCTATCTGTCCTTGTTTATGCCATTCATTCAATGGCTGACCCTTATTTACTCTATCCATCCATTAGTTGGCCCTGGTTTATGTGATCCACCAGCAGATTGCAAATGAGTGCCTGGCCTCACATGGGGTTCAGAGGACATGGGACACGTTGTTGGGACCAGAGCAAGAGTCAGCAGGAAGTGATTTCCCAAAAGGCTCGTGTTTCACGGTCACCCTGGCCCTGATGACTCTGAACAAATATTTACCCAAACAGAAGTGTTGCTTCTGATTTCCAGAAAGAGGGGAGCTGGTGGAAACAGACCAACTCAACCCCCAGTCACCTGGGTTCGAAAAGATAGTTTCCCCCAGCTGCTAAAATAAATACATTCGTTGTGCAGTTAAACATTATTCTGAATGGGCAGCAAGTTAGACTCTCGGTCGGTCGGGAGGAAATCATATGATGTATAAACTGCCCAGGATGCTAAAGAAAAATGATCTAATGGTAGGGGGCTCTTGAAGGGGTTGAAAAGCTTTACTAGATTTCCTCCCCCACTTTGGAAACCCTGGTCTAAGGAAAGCCTCAAGGCATCCCCCAAAGTGTTCAGATATGTGTAGATCTCTTTCTGGAAAGTTCCCCGCCCTTTGTCTCAACCATACTCTCTTATTTGGAGCCATAATAATGGCCGGTGGCTCACACCTATAAACCCAGCTCCTCAGGAGTCTGAGATCTGAGGATCAAGGTTTGAAGCTCACCCTGACAGCCAGAGTAGGGAAGTCTGTGAGACTCTAAAACTCTAATTAAACATTAAAAAAGCCAGAAGTGGAGATAGGGCTCAAATGGTAGAGAGCTAGCCTCAAGCAAAGAAAGAAAAGAAGGAAGGAAGGGAGGGAGCGAGGAAGGAAAGAAGGAGGGAAGGAAGGAAGGAAGGGAAGAAGGAGGGAAGGAAGGAAGGAAGGAAGGAAGGAAGGAAGGAAGGAAGGAAGGAAGGCGGGCTCAGAAACAGGCCCCAGGCCCCGAGTTCAAGCCCTAGGACCAGCACTAAAACTAAAACCAAACAAAAAAACAATGGCTTCTTAAAAAATGTATTTGAGTCATTTTTCCGCTTCTCCTTCAGGCTTTCCTATTCAATGAAAGGACACAGCACACGGATCGCCGGTTCCAGGATTGTGCATAGAAGTTTGTTTTCAGGTCATTTCTCTGATTCCTCTTTCTCCCCAGGTAAAATGTCTTGTTTGGGGAAAGAAAACTAACCCCCCCCCAAAAAAAAACTCCTCAAACGCCCCCCAGGGCTTTTCAACTTACTGTTCTTCCATGCTTGGTTGGCTCTGTTTCTAGATACTTCCACAGCGGATCTTGGTTATTCTTCTGAAGAAACCTCCCCGGAAGCACCCCCCCCCAGCACCCCAGGAAAACAGGCAGCCTCTTCCTTCCTGGCGTCTGTTTGGATGGTTCTTCCAGAAGGTTCTTTCTGTTTTCTCAGACTGAATCCTAAACTATGGAGGATCTAGGCGGAGAGAAGAGGGGCTTCGGGGATGGCGTAGGAGCCATTTTTGAGAACGCTGGGCCCTGGGGCTCTCCTGTGGCTTTCCCACAGGTTTTGGAGGAGCGGAGAGACAGTTGATAATAAATGCCACCGAGGAACAAGAGAGTCTCTTCTTCTATGTTGTCTTTGTTTTCTTTTCTCTTTGTCTCGTGGGTGGGTTTCTTTGGGTGAGGGGGACACAGAAATGGGGGGGACAGAGGGGAAACCAAGGCAGCCGGGGTCCTCACTGGACACCAGGTGGAGAATGAACTCTACCACTCGTGGGTGGGGACGGGAGGGAAAAATGGGGAGAGAGCGGGGGAAGGGGGGACAGGGTCCATTGAGAAATCCACTCGTGACCTGACTGATGTCACTGTCACCTCTCTGCATGTCACCTTTGTCATCACAATAAAAGGATGGTTCAAGAAAAGGGCAGAAAAGTAATTCCATTATCATTGTGGATTATTATTATTATTATTACTATTATTCCCTTTTAGTAGTTAGATAAAGGAGTTTTAATTCAACACATCAAATTATGAATACCACCCATCTGGAGCAATGTGACCCCTTCTGGCCCCACCCCTCACCCAGTATATGAATAATATAACCTGTTTCTGTGTTCACATACATCCGTTGAATATCACGGCTGTATCAGCCCACCATGTGTCCCCTCTCTCCATTTCCCTGGCCCTCTCCTCCTCTTGGTCTTCCTCCCCGACAAAACATGGTTCTGTTTCTCTTGGGTTCATTGTGTTAAACCGTCAGCTAGCTGTTCAAAGGACTTACACGCTTGGAAGCCATTCTTGTGTAAACTATATTAAGAACCAAGAGCTAGTTTAGAAAAATGATAACAAGGGCCGGGCACCCATGGCTCCCGCCTGTCATCCTAGCTACTCAGCAGGCTGAGATCTGAGGCCCCTGGTTCAAAGCCAGCCCGGGCAGAAAAGTCTGTGAGACTCTTATCTCTCATTAACTAGCAAGAAAAATAAAAACTGGAAGTGTCGCTGTGGCTCAAGTGGTAGAGCATTAGCCTTGAGTGAAAGAGCTCAGAGACAGCGCCCAGGCCCTGAGTTCGAGTTCCTGATCTGGCCCATTCACACAAAAACCAAAACCAAACCCTGAGCTTAATGCAGGAGTTGGGTTGTTAATCGTGGGTGTGAGATCAAGCAGCCCTTCTAAGGCTCCCTCTCTCCTGACATATTTTCCCTTTAAGATAACAATCTAAGTATCA